TCTCCTCCTCCTCCTCCGACGACGACAACGACGACGACGACGACCCTTGGCAGCGGCAGCGGCGGGCGAGCGGACGAGCGAGCCGAGCGGGCAGGCGGGAGAGCACCCAGCGGGCCTCCAGGCGAGCACATCCTCGCGCTCGCTCCGCCGGGCGGCGCGCGCGGGGTCGAAAAAAGGGCTGTGGCCCGAAAGTGGCGGCGCCGGTGGGGGAGGGAGAAAGGGAGGGAGGGAGGGAAGGAGGGGAGGGAGGGAGGGAGGGAGAGAAGGGAGGGAGAGAGAGAGAGAGAGAGATAGAGAGGGAGGGAGGAGATAGAGAGAAGGAGGGGGGGGAGGATAAGGGAGGAAGGGGGGAGGAGGAGGGGGAGGAGGCGGAGGAGGAGGAGGAGGAGAAGGAGAAGGAGGAGGTCGCCACCGCTGAATTCGCCTCGACATTCTCGTCAGAACGCACCTTTGCAGGGAGTGGCGGTATCGATACTTCTTGCTTCCCTACGATCGGCGGTCTGAGGAGAGCGAAAGGAAGAGGAAGAGGAAGAGGAGGAGGAGGAGGAGGAGGAGGAAGGAGGAGGCGGAGGAGGGTCGGCTCAGATTCCGCCTACTCTCCCTTCCTCTCGTCGTCCCCCTGCCCTTGCCTTTCTCTCCCTTCTCCTCCTCCTCCTCCTCCTCCTCCTCCTCCTCCTCATCCCTCATCATCATCATCATCATCATCATCATCATCAATCATCATCATCATCATCATATCATCATCATCATCATCATCATCTCATCATCAGAGTCATCATCATCATCATCATCAGCATCATCATCATCAGCAGCAGCATCTAGCATCATCATCAAGCATCAGCAGCACATCATCATTCAGCAATCGTCATCATCATCATCATCATCATCCATCATCATCATCATCATCATCATCATCATCATCATCATCATCATCATCATCATCATCATCATCATCATCATCATCATCATCATCATTATGATAATCATCATCACCATCATCCGCATCACCACCATAGTAGTCATCATCACCACCATCAGCATCCTCATCCTCATCCTCATCCTCATCCTCATCATCATCTTCCTCATCCTCATACTCATCCTCATCCTCATCCTCATCATCATCAGCAGCAGCAGCATCATCATCAGCATCATCATCAGCATCAGCATCAGCAGAGCATCATCTGCAGCAGCATCTGCAGCAGCATCAGCATCAGCATCAGCATCATCAGTATCACCATCATCATCATCAGCAGCATCATCAGCAACATCAGCATCATCATCATCATCATCATCATCATCATCATCATCCTCAGCATCATCACACCACCATCACCATCATCATCAGCATAAGCATCAGCATGATCATCATCATCATCATCATCATCATCATCATCATCATCATCATCATCATCCTCATCATCATCATCATCATCATCACCATCATCATCATGCTGATCCTCCTCATCCTCCTCCCCCTCCTCCTCCTTCTGCTGCGTCTCCTCCTCCTCCTCCTCCTCCTCCTCCTCCTCCACCCACCCTCCTCCTCCTCCTCCTCCTCCCTCCTCCTCCTCCTCCTCCTCCCCTCCTTCCCACCTCCTCCTCCTCCTCCTCTTCCTCCTTCTCCTCCCTCCTCCTCCTCTTCATCCTCCTCCTCCTCCTCCTCCTCCTCCCCTGCCTCTTTTTCTGCCCCCCCCCCCGCCTTCCTGTCACCTCCTCCACCCCCCCTCCCCGTCGCGAGCGGCGCGGGCGGCCGCAGGGCCCTGGCACGGAATCGTGCGACGCACGCTCGCCACGCGGATCGTCCAGCGTCTCTGGCCTCCGGATCTGGAGGGAAAGAGAACGATGGTGAACGTTCTCTTATTCGGCGTTTCGACATTGAGCCGAAGGGGGAGGGGTCTGGCTCCGAACCTCTGCTTAATGCGACAGTTTGATATGTGCGCCCTATGGAGGACACTCCACCTGCTTGAAACAGGCGCCCCAAACAGCCAAGATCTACCATAGGGGGGGGGAAGGTGGTGCGAGGGCCTGCGCCGATCGGCAAAACAATGAATAAGAAAAAGACCACACGCAAGGACCGACCACAAGGATGGTCAAAACGGAGTGGCTCTGAAGACGAAAGACGAAAAACGAAACCCAACGATCAAAACGACCGTTTAACACGAAACTGGTGCCAAACGATACGAACGGCGAGACGACGCATTGAAAACAAAAACGAAGAATAAAAAATGAAACGGACATGAAAAACGATGCGAACAAAACGAAACAGATGCCCAAACTAAGCTGAAATGCGCCGCGGTCGGTCCTGGGAAAGAGAACGATGCCCACGATCAGCACTGCTCGGAGAACGCCCGCGCCGATCCGGCTGGTCATCGGCAATTCGTGGATCACCCCTGCGGAACGACGACGGCCTGCACGGACAAGAACCAAGATCGGCGTCGACCAGATCCCGCGACATCTTGGCCATGGCCAGCGTGCTGCTTCCCTAGAAAGACTCCCCAGGGGTACAGTCGAATCGCTGTCAGAAAGAACCCCTAGTAAGGAACGAGGCCCCTCTGCTGCCATCAGTTTAACTTCGATGTCCCATCTACCTAAGGGGGAAACCTAAGACAAGCTACGAAACAATCAAGGACCACCGAACCCCTCCCGAACGAAAAGAGCTCCTTCTTCAACGGTCCGACTGTAGGTTTTGGTCCCAAGCCCATTGTGCGATGGTCCTGGGGACCGGCAAATGGGCTCCCTAAAGCCGGAATCAAGGAAAAACGCCCAAATTGAAAGAAAAAATGACGGCGGTGGTCCACAGTCGGGTTTGATTGATGTAGAAACGCGAGAGGACGCAAGACCTTGCCGAGAGCCACGTCGCCATATGAATGTCAAGACATGGGTCGCCAAACCCAGGACACAAGGGTACATCCTCGCATACCCTGCCGTCCTTACGGATATGAGGTTCTAATATGTTCGAGTTTCCGACTACCCAAGACGGCCCGAGAGGCAAAAGGCCAAGATAGCTCTAAGACAGCCGAACAGGCCCCGAACAGGGCCTCAAGTCGGCCCAAGAGGACCCAAAGATCGCCCAAGGGGCTCCCCAAGAGGGCCCGAAGACGGCCTTGAGGCGCTCCATGAAAGCAACCAGACGGACAAGAAAGGCCTCTTGGGCTGTCTTGGGCGGTCGGAAACCCAAACATGCCAGAACCTCAAAATACGTCAACAACCTTGGGACAAGCAGTGGTCATGGCATCATCGGGCTCTCCTGGATGGCTTCTTCGAGACCTCGTGGCCCGCCTTGTGGGGCAGCTTGATCTGTCTCGAGGCCTTATTGGGAGCCGCATGGCCCCTGGACGGCTTTCAAGGCAGCCAAGATGACGCCAAGCTGGCCCAAGATGGCCCACGACGGCTCAAGAGGCCCCCAAGAAGGCCTTAAGACAGATCAAGACGCCCCCAAGACGGCCCAAAAGATCTCCAATAGGCCCTCCTGGAGAGCCCGAGGAGGCCAAAACCATTGATTGTCCTTAGGTTGTTTGATAGATTTTGAAGTGCGAACCTGTTCGGGTTTCCGACCGCCCGAAACGGCTCAAGAAGCCTACAATAAGCCTCCAAGATAGCTCCAAGGCAGCCCGAGAAGCCCCCAAGGGGGCCCGAAATCTGCACAAGAGGACCCACATATCCCCCAAGGGGCTCCCAAGAAGGCCCTAAGACGGTCGTGAGCCGCTCCAGGAGGGCACCAACGCGGCCGAGAGACCCCCAAGGCGGCCACCATAGGCGTCTGACGTGCCAAGAGTCCCCTAAGACAGCCAAAGAGGCCTCAAGAGGCCCCCAAGAGGGCCCCAAGAGGCCCCCAAGAAGCTTTCAGAAAGTTCCCTGGAAGCTCCCAGGAAGCTCCCAGGAAGCCCCAAGAAGCCGTCTCCTCCTCATCCTCATGTTCTCCCTCTCCCTCTACCTCTCTCCTCCTCCTCCTCCTCCTCCTCCTCCTCCTCCTCCTCCTCCTCCTCCTCCTCCTCCTCCCCCTCCTCCTCCTCCTCTCCTCCTCTCCTCCTCCTCCTCCTCCTCCTCCTCCTCCTCCTCCTCCTCCTCCTCCTCCTCCTCCTCCTCCTCCTCCCTCCTCCTCCTCCTCCTCCCTCTCCTCCTCCCTCTCCTCTCCTCCTCCTCCTCCTCCTCATCCTCCTCCTCATCCTCCTCCCCTTCCTCCTCGTTTTACTATTCTTAGTTTTCTTCGTCCTCCTCCTCCGCCTCATCATCATCATCATCATCATCATCATCATCATCATCATCATCATCATCATCATCATCATCATCATCATCAGCATCATCACCATCACCATCATCATCATCATCATCATCATCATCAGCATCATCAGCATCGTCATCATCATCATCATCATCATCAGCATCATCAGCATCATCATCATCATCATCATCATCATCATCATCATCATCATCACCATCACCATCACCATCACCATCACCATCACCATCATCATCATCATCAGCAGCAGCATCATCATCATCATCATCATCATCATCATCAGCATCATCATCATCATTATCATCATCATCAGCATCATCATCAGCATCAGCATCAGCATCAGCATCAGCATCATCGTCATCAGCAGCATTATCAGCATCATTATCATCATTACCGTTCGCATCGTCAGTATCCCTACCGCGCGGACGAAGACGAGGTCGTGATCGCGACCCGCCCCGATGCAGACTACTCGTCGTAATTGCACTGCTCCTACACGCAACCGCCTTCCTGCTGCGCTGTGGCACAGGCACGGTGACTGGGTTCGCCGCAGGCAGCTGGATCTGGGCTCCCCCGCAAACGCTCCACTAAGCACTCCACCGAAGTACGCTGGAGAATCAAAGCTCGCTGGACGCGGTTGCGTCGGCGGGGGAATCAGGAGAAGAAGGAGGAGGGTGAGAAGAACGAGGAGGGGAAGGACAGGGAGAGAGAGGAGGGGGAAAAAACAACGACGACGACGATGGCGAGCGACTAAGAGCGAGGCATCCTGGCTACCACCTCGAGGACCCAGAACTTGGGGATCGGGCGGCCCTGTCGCCCCGCACCGTGCGCCCCTCTCCCGTGCGCCCCGCTCCCTGCATGTGCCTCTGCCTCTGCCGCTGCCTCCGCCTCTGTCCCCGCCAGCCATGATCATCGTCAGCATCAGCATCAGCAGCAGCATCAGCAGCAGCATTCTCATCATCGTCAGCATCATCATCATCATCATCATCATCATCATCATCATCATCATCATCATCATCATCATCAGCATCAGCATCGTCATCATCATCATCATCAGCATCAGCATGATCATCATCATCAGCATCATCATCAGTATCATCCTCATCATGTTCGTGCTCATCATCAGCATCATCATCATCATCCACATCATTATCATCATCGTCTTCATACCATCATCATCAACAGCACCATCTGCAACATTACCGATACCATCATCACACTCATCATCATCAGCAGCATCATCGTCAACATCATCACCAGCATCATCAACAACACCATCGTCATATTCATCACCATCAGCAGCAACATCATCATCGTTATCATCTGCCTCACTATCATCCACATAACCAGCATCGTCATCACCACCATCAGCATCATCATCATCAGCAACATAATCACCATCGTCATCATGAGATTGAGCATCAGCAGCATGACCGATATGCTCCATCCGAACACGAAGCCCGCTTGCCAGCCCTAGATCGCACCAAGCGTCTTCCGAGGTCAGGAACCAAATCGTGCGATTGCACAGTGCCTGTGGATCACCCGAAGACTTCTCCAACACCAGGATCAGCTACTACCCTGTGGCCGAATCCTGGGGCCCTGGAGCCAAGCATGATGGCATCTCTGGCATGACGACAGCGGATCCTGAAGGAAGCGGGTGCCGGAACCCGGGCCCCGGGACCCGCCTTTCGACATGATTCAATGTTTAGTTTTCTCCACAGAAGAACCCCCCGAGGGCCTACAACGGCGAAAAAAACAGAGGACATGTTTCCCTCAGGAAGCGTTCCATTTTGTCCCCCCCTCAAACATCCAACGCACGACGTGAAAGCATCGCGACTGCGGATCAGACAAGCGTGACCCCGCAAATTGCTCCCCTGAATTTCCCTCAGAAGCCGTGCCCTTCATGCCGACATCTCTTGGGGGCGCATCGTCGCGAACTTCTGCCAGCCTTCCGCCAGTCTTCCGCCTTCCTCCGCCAGCGGGCCCTCACCGCCTTGCTTCGATAGCTGGCTTCCGCGGGCCGTTCCGCTGCTTCCCTCCTTCCGAGAAAGAAAATGTAAACTTCTCGACCCCTCGAAGGCGAGGCCATTTTCTGGAACGCCCCGTTGCCTCCGCCTCAGCCTTCTCATCCTCGGCCTCCTCCCATCTTCCCTCCCCTCCTTCTACGCTGCAGCCTATCCTCTCAATTAAATCAGTCCCTCCCTCCCTGTCTGTTCGCTCTCCACCCCTTGTATCCCTACCCCAAACCTCGTCCCTCTCTTCTCCCTACAATATCCATCCAACCCTCTCCCCTCCGTCCATGCATCCACCCGTCACTCCGACACTCCGTCCCACTCAACTGCCCCTCGCAGTTAATACCGCAACCCAAAAAGGCTCACGAATAGGCTAAATTTGTATAAAAAAAACGCCCCACCCCCGGTCGAGACTGCCACCGAACATATCCCCACTCCCCACTTAAGACTGCTGCCTGGCTGCCCTGTCGATTCAACCAGCCAACAAATTACCAGTTGACCTCACGGAAACAAAGTGTCGGCCGCACCCGAAAAGATGGGCCCTCGAAAACTGGCGTCCCCCGGATGAATCAGATGTGAACAGTGCGCACCTTCGGGAAATGACGACATACACCGCAACTGCTAAGCCTCCACAAGCCCATTTCAACCCAGACCGTTTTGCTATGTACGGATAGGCACTCCGCCAAGCATGGGTCCTATTGTGATCCCCCTGCTTCTGCAAACGCGCCTTGCAGATGCACGGCGTCTGACATGACCTGGCCACTAAAGCGCAAGAAACTGCCAGTATCACCCCCTGGTCAATCGTGTTCGAGCCAACCCACTTCGATTTTGAACTCGGCGAACGTGGCTCGCGGCCCGGGGCAGACGCAGTGCACGCCAGAGTCATAACCCAGGACGGGACCCGTGGAGGCTCGTAGAGGGCGCACAGCTTTGGGGAGATCAAAAGGTACCGACACCGCTACTCCTCAGACCTCTTCCTCCTCCCCGTCCTCGTCCTCCTCCTCGTCCTCCTGCTCCTCCTCCTCCTCGTCCTCCTCCTCCTCCTCCTCCTCCTCATCATCATCATCATCCTCCTCCTCTTGCTCTCCTCTCGCTCTCCTCAGACACCCGATCGAGGGGAAGAAGATAAATACCGATTGCGCTACTCCCCAGACCTCTCCACAGGTGCGTTCTGACTCTAAACTCCGAGGAGAGCCAGCGGTGGCGGCGAGGGTCTCCCAGGGGGGCCCTAGAACCGAAGAAAAGGCAAGGGTAGCGGCATATTTATGTTCAGCTCCTCGGACATATCCCACATTGCGAACAAACATACAGCATCGCGAAAATTCAAAACCAGAGCCCTAGACCCCATCTTTCTGAGGCATTTTCCGATCCGGATCGATCTGTGATGGTCCTGGGGGCCCCAAGCTGGGCGAAAACGCCCGGTGTAAAAAACAAATGCAGCGCCCGGACCTCATGTCTGGAGGGGGCGCGCACAATTCCCTCGGGGCGTCCAAGAGGGGCGCGTCCAAGAGGGGGGGTCGCAAATCATGGCCCGAGGCATGTGCGCGGCCCCGAGGGGGGCCTTGAGACGTACCGAAAGAAGAGGAGGGGGCCATGAGATCTGTAAGATGTCGTGGCCCCCGCCATAGTATCCAGCGCCCCCTCCTCCTGGCCGCCCCCGATTCCCAGATATCCGGCCGCTCCTACTTTTTCGATGCGTGGGTCCTGGAGGTCTGGACCGCTTCCCTGGAGCCAGCTTTTCGTCCCGAGTCGATGTCTGACGGTCCCGAAGCCAGGCGAAGGCCCCTGGAAGCAAAAATCTACCAAAATCGCCAGCTCCAACTTTTGTTGGAGCGTCGGATCTCTGGGTATTGGCCGCCACCGAGTCCCTGACGCCCGCCCCACTCCTCGTACAGCCGGTCCAAGGTCCAGCACAGGGCGAAAAAGATGGCCTTGACGAACGGCGTGCTCTCCACGGCTGGGCGGCGCTCCTCCCGAGCCACGACCTAGGAGCAGCGATGCCCTCGAGTCTGCTTCGAACCTCGCCCGCCGACGCCCCCCCCGACGACGACGACGCCTGACTCCTCCTGGCTCCCTCCTCCCTCCTCTTCCTCCTCTTCCTCCTCTTCCTCCTCTTCCTCCTCTTCCTCCTCTTCCTCCTCTTCCTCCTCTTCCTCCTCTCCTCCTCCTCCTCCTCCTCCTCCTCCTCGTCCTCCTCCTCCTCCTCCTGCTCCTACTACTACTATACTTATACTACTACTAACTATACTACTACACTACATTTATACAATAATGTACTAGTAGACTACCTACTACGACTACGCTACGACTACGACTACTACTACTTACTACTCAACTACTACTCACTACTTAATACTACTTACTACGACTACTAATACTACTACTACTACTATACTACTACTACTACTGCTACTGCTATACTACTACTACTACTACTATACTATTACTACTACTACTACTACTACTCACTACTCCTACTCCTACGGACTATTACTACGACGACGACTACTTATACTACTACTACTACTACTTACTACTAATACTACTACTTACTACTACTACGACTGACTACGCACTACCACTAACTACTACTACTATACTACTACTACTACTACTACTACTACTACTACTCCTCACTACTACTACTTACTACTACTCTACTACTACATATACTACTACTACTACGACTACGACTACGACTACGACACGACTACGAGTTACGACCACTACTACTACTACTACTACTACTCCTACTTATTATCTACTACCGCTACGACTCGACCTGGCGCTACAACGACGACTACTCTACTCTTATTACTACTTATACTTTTACTACTACTTACTCCTACTAATACTACTACTAATACTACTACGACTTACTACGACTGTACGACTATACTAGTACTAGTACTACTACTACTACTACTACTACTACTAAACTACTACTACTACTACTACTGCCCTACTTACGACTAGACTTTACGACTACGACTACGACTAGACTACTTACTACTACTACTATACTACTACTTACTACGAGTACTACTTCTACGACGACTTACTACTACTACTATACTACTACTACTACTACTACTACTACTACTACTTGTACTGCTACTACTACTGCTACTGCTACTGCGACTACTACTACTACTACTACTACTTCTACTACTACTACTACTACTACTTCTACTACTACAAGTACTGCGGCTACTACTACTACTACTACTACTACTACTACTACTACTACGACTACTACTACTACTACTACGACTACTACGACTACTACGACTACTACGACTACTACGACGACTACTACGACTACTACGACTACTACGACGACGACTACTACTACTACTACTACTACTACTACTACTACTGCTACTACTGCTGCTGCTACTACTACTCCTGCTACGACTACTGCTACTACGATTCATAATACGTATACGACTACGACGGCTACTACGACTACGACGTCTACCACTACTACATCAACGACTACGACGACTACTAGTACTGCGACTACAACTACTACTACTTCTACTACTACTACTACTACTACTACTACCACTACTACTATTACTACCACTACTACTACTACTACTTAACTACTATACTACTACTACTCACTACTACTACACTACTATGACTCTACTACAGCACTGTTACGAGCTAGTTTCTACCACTACCAACTACTACTGCTGCTACTGCTACTACTATACTACTACTATAGACTACTACAATACTGCTACTTACTACTACTACTGGGACTACGGCCACGACTGCGACTACTACTACTATTACTATTACTGCTACTGCTACTACTATTACTACAACTACTACTACTACTACTACTACTACTACTACTAATACTTATACTACTACTAGTACTACTACTACTACTACTACTACTACTACTACTACTACTACTACTACTACTACTACTACTACTACGGCTACGACTACTACTACTACGGCCACGACTGCGACTACTATTACTATTGCAACTGCGATTACTACTACGACTGCGACTACTACTACTTTTACGATTCGCACTACTACAATAACAACAACTACTACTATTCCTACTACTACTACTACTACTACTACTACTACTACTGCTACTACTACTACTACTATATATACTACGACTACTACTAATATATTACGACTACTACAAATACTAGTACGATACGGACCTATTACTAGTACTATACGACGACTACTATTACTTACGACGACTACTACTACTACTACTATCGACTACTTATACTTACTACGACTACTACACTACTACTACACTATCTACTAACTACTACTATACTACTACTACTTACTTACTACTACACTGTTACG